AACGTGTTGGCTAGTTTGTTGCGCTTTATTTCACGTTAAATGAACTTTTCACGTATTATTTAACTTATTAGCGATAGAGAGGAAACGTGTTGGCTAGTTTGTTGCGCTTTATTTCACGTTAAATGAACTTTTCACATATTATTTAACTTAATGCTATTTAGTGTGATACAAGTTTATCGTGAAATATTAATTTTCATTATCATGTTAATTTAATCCTTTCAATGTAATTTATGCAAATTTTTCCTTTTTTATGAACTTAACTCCATAAATATCTGACAATTTTTGAGTGCTACAAATGTTTTGGAAATTTTAGAGCTTCATAAATGTTTGGGAGTTTTAGAGCACCACAAATGTTTGAGAGTTTTAGAGCGTCATAAATATCTGGGAGTTTTAAAGTGCCGCAAATATCTGGGAGTTTTAGTGCGTCACAAATGTTGTCTGGAAGTTTTTTGGAGCTCCATCAATGTCTAGGAGTTTTAGTGCGTCACAAATGTCTGGAAGTTTTAAAGCTCCATCAATATCTGGGAGTTTTAAAGCGCTACAAACTGGGAACATTAAAAAAAAAAAAAAAAAATTTACCCTTTGCAATTATCCGTATTGTTATTCGATCAATTCTAATTGCGCCAGATATTATTTTTAGATGAGTACTGTTACATCAATCATTCCGGAAAATGAAGAAGACATTGCGGTGCGACATTTTCGCGAATATTTACGCATTAATACAGCTCATCCAAATCCGGATTATGGTAAGAAATGTTTGTTGAGAAATAAAATATATATTTTTTTCTTCCGAATTTAATGAATCCCAATCGATGAACAATTTGCGAGAATTAAAATATATTGTGTGAGAGTTAATAAAAATTATATTCCCTTTTTTATATTATAATGTTACTGTACATTTAACTAATTATGTTAAAAATTTTGATTGAAATTTATTTATCAAATTAAAAGAATTTATAATTTTTTGAAGTTAACTGTTGGTTCATTGCTACAAATAAAAAAGTCAAAATAATCAGTATGTTAAGGAAAATGTTGGAAACTATTACTGTAGTTATAACTATTACTGTAGTTATTCCTATAACTTTGGATTTTCTTTTTTTTTTTGATCCATTGAGAATTGTATATTTACCTGTTCATTTTAATTCATTCTATTTTTCAAGTATTTAATCATAGGGTTCTTTTTTTTTTTGTTCCTAACAACGGTGAGATTTTGATTTTGTTAGCAAAAAAAATACTTTATGCTGTAACTTATTTTATTTTTTCACTTAAAAATTATAAAATTTAGTCATTTATTTAAAAGCACTTTGCAACAATGAAAGTATATTAGAAATATTCACTTACCGTATACTATATGTTTTTCCGATTATGTTGTATATCAGACATAGCTACATATCTTTTTCCTGAAAAGCATTTAGCTACACGGTATGTATTCCAGCATAATTCTTTGAAAGGAAGAGTCATAAGATGAAGTTATATCAACTTTTTGATTTAATTAAAATTTCTTCTCATCTATTTTGTATAGGCTATGAATACCTCAAAAAATTCGCTTATCCGGCAGAACATTCTGAGATACATATCGTAGTTTGCTAACTCTTTAATTTGTTTTAATTTTATATTGCATTAAATCCCCAATACTGAAATCATTCTATCATATATAGTTTTGAAGAGAGATATGTTATAAACTTTACGGAGGAAAATTTCAGCGGGATGTATCCGGTTTTTGTTCGATTTAGCAGATGGATTGAATTTCGAACGATCCGTTCATGAGGTTTGTCAATTTTTGCACATTTTTTTTTATAAATGAAGTAAAAATAAAAAGTTAAGGAAAGATCAAGGATAATATATAATTATGTGTTAAATTTAACAAACAGTTTGAGCAAATATCCGGTTGGCAATATTTTACGGTTGACAATTTACGGAATGGCATATATATATACATATATAGCTAATTTATTTACTTTTATTTTCTTCTTATGTTAACAAAAAAAATCTCCCTTTTATCAATGGCCGTCCTGTTTTTTCTTTTTTCTACCTTCGGCGGAAATGTGTAATTTAAATATGCAATATATATTATAAGCTAAGAGTGAATGTCCGGTTTGTCAAATATGTATTATGTATCCTTATATGTAAATATTAATTTTAATTCATTAATTTTATTATGTATCCTTACATGTAAATACTAATTTTAATTCATTAATTTTATTATGTATCCTTACATGTAAATACTAATTTTAATTCATTAATTTTATTATGTATCCTTATATGTAAATATTAGATTTAATTCGTTAATTAACGAATTTATTACCGGTTCTAAAACCAGCATACGCTTTATAAAATATAAGTTGAGAATTAAATGCCCGCTTTGTCAATTGTGACCTTTATTATGTCTTGGCACATGTCAATATTAGTTTTAATTCACTAATTAACAAATTATCGGATATAAAAGAAATATATAATATAAAATATATGCTGAGAGTTAAATATCCAATTTGTCAAATGTCACCTTTATTGATGTTACCTTACATGCAAATATTAATTGTTAATCCATTGATTAAAAATTTATCACAAAAAATAAGTAATTTAAAATATTACATAAGTGTATTTTATGTTTTCAGTGTGTACCAGGTAAACCATTTATTATTATGACTATACGTGGACGTGATGAATCACTTCCATCGCTAATGCTTTATTCTCATACCGATGTTGTTCCTACACCTAATAAGGTAAAACAAATAGTTTTTTTTTTCTTTATATAAAAAAGAAATAATGAATTTATATATTTTGTTTCACAAATTGATCGTTAATTTTAAAAAAGATTATTTCATTTTTTCGATTAAAAAAAAGTAAGACAGCTTTTTTTTGATTTTAAATTTCATTTCTTTTTTTTGATTAAAAATTTTATTAATAGGAATTTTGGAAATTTGATCCATTTGCTGGAATAAAAGATACAGATGGGAAAATTTATGGTCGTGGTGCACAAGATATGAAATGTATTGGTATTCAATATGTCGAAGCAATACGACGTTTATTTAAAAATAGCCAAAGTAAAGAAAATTTTCTACGAACAATACATATTGTATGGGGTCCAGGTTTGTCTTAGTTTTAGTTTTTGTTTTTTTTTTTTATTTTCAACGTTAGTGCATCTTTTTTTTTTTATCTCTCCATTTTCAACAATTCTTAACTTTAATTTATTAATGTGAAATTTCAGATGAAGAAATAGGTGGTGAAGATGGAATGGAAAAATTTGTGGAAAGTGAAGTATTTAAAAAATTAAATGTTGCATTTGTTTTGGATGAAGGTTTACCAACAGAAGAAGAATC